AATACGTTCGGAGATTAGATTTTTCCTCTAAACTTAGAGTTTAAGAGAATAGTAGGCCCTATTATTCTTTTATAAATAATGTCGAAATTTGTATTCATTGCCTTAACCTTTGATAAGGGGTAAATATATTTCTATGTTAGATTTGTAGCCAGATTTAAGAGGGAAATTAACGTAGTTGCATTGCGATTTCGACAGATTTCTTATGTAAATTACTGTCAGTTCAACACACCAACTTTTTAACCAAGCCAAATTGAAATGATTATTTTTCGTTAACTATAAAACCTAATCCCTCAAAACCCCTAAAATATTAACCGTTTTATAACACTAACACTGAAAACCACAAATTATTCGTATTGAGGTTTATTTGGTGTGTTTTACAATACTTTTTGTTTGTTGCGTTGGCTTCTGATAAATCGAATCCAATTTTTTCTCTTTCCATCGACCTCGGTCTCCGTCGATTTCGCGATCCGGTTTCATTTATATCGATGTCCGTCTGTTGTAATAGTTCACTCAAGGCCACCAACTCCTAGCATTTCCCCTACATTGAATAAGAGGGGGGTTATTCAATGTTGACGCCCAATTTCGGTTATCATGTCATAATTAAATTTTTACTACTACCATTTCATCATAAGTCATTCCCTAAGTTTGACTTGGTTATAAAGATTGTGCCGAATCTGCGGTATTCGGCAGAATTTAGTAATTTAGATCAGTGCAATCTGTAGGTGGCTCACATCAACTATGGCGATTTTGATCAAATAAAAACTGGCTTCAAATTTAACATGGGGATGGAATGTCTAGTTGTATTGATAGTCAAAGCTACTACTTTGTTTTATCAAGGGTGCCTTGTGGACATAGAACATTCTACTGGTATCATGGTGGATACTGATTATCTTGTTTTACCAGGAATTTCAAAGTTTTATTTTACATAGGAAAGTACACCGAAAATCGGTATTTTTTATGCTTTGTCTTTGAAATTCCTAAATTTCTTCACTAATTACCGATCGAATTTGCATAGTTGTTTACTAAAAATGTACTTGAGTTTTTCGTCGTTAAGGTACAATTTCAATAGTTATTTGTGTAACTAGTGTGTGAAGTGGCACTTTGCGCTCGTGTTATACATTTGCTTTTTTCTACAGTTACTATAAAGCAGAGAAATATTATACGAGTAAAAAATTGTTTTTGCAATTGTTGTAATTATCGAGATTGAGAGTCGCAATCAATTTAGCCATCCCAAAAGTGTAAACTTTTTTAATTTAATTACAATAATAATTTTCATTTCACAATTTACCTTTCCGTTTTAAAAAGCTTTTTAAACATATTGTTATTACAAATTATCTTGGATACTACAGTACTGTTTCATCGACTATATAGGTAAATTTAATGGGTTTCATTTTCCACTACCGTTACTACAATACCAAAGTCTGTTGATACTTTGATATTTGATCGTTTACAATTAATGATTATTTGAATCCTTAAACGAATAGACAAAGGTTGCGCTCAAACTGCACTAATCAACATTTTTTCAAACTGCACTAATCAACATTTTAGGGTAAATTGTTCCAACAGTTAGTTTAAGAATACCATAAAATTCCCGTCGACGCTACCAGTGCCCCTTGTTCTAAATACAGATCCGTGTGTTGTTGTGCCGCACTCCAGTTGTGCGGCCTCGCATCCCGACCTCGGGTCCGGGCCTCGGTCAGTTCGCGATTCACCACGGAGGCACGGATGACCATCGGTGAGTTTGTCGCACCTCGACCCAAATACATGACCTTGGCGACAGGTCTCTGGCTGTGGTACTAGGAAGTACTAGGAGGACGGTTTGAATTAACATCTTCTACCTGTAGGTTATAAGGTGATGAGAATGTTTTTCTTAATTTAAAATTGGGCAAAGGTGTGGAGGTTTATATACCTTTGACTGTACATATTCAAAGATGAGTGAACTCTATTTAATATAATCAAATCTAATTCACTTCTAATTTTTGAAATTGTAATTTTAGTTCCTGCCTTTAGGTTTAGATTGTGAAATTGAAATATATTCAGTGATTTTCCCAAGGGAAATAGATTATTCTGATAAAATGTAACTGTGGACTGTCTCACTCATTACTCAATACGTAAATATATTGTTTTTTTTGCTAAGCAATAACGAGACTTTATTTATGTATAGCCTAACTTTGTTAGTCAATCTCTTGAGAATTCGAAGTTATTTTTTTTTCTTAGGGTTTATTTAAGACCTTGAATGTATACCTAATTGATAAATTCTCATTAACTAAAAAAAAATAGCGGGGGTTCTTAACAATTAATGTAGCCTAAGGATTGTGGCCACAACATAACCATAGTAAAAATGCCAATTTTTACTGAAATTGCAGCCAAGGATCTATTTCAAAGTCAAAATACTTTTATTTCCAAGATATTTTTGCAAAATAAATGGAATACAAACAATTTCCTAGCATATGTCTTAAAAACTTGTGTGGCGAAATAAAATGTAATTCAGAACTTGGTGAAGAACTAACTGATAGGTATAGTTTGGATGTTCGAAAACACTTTTTATATTGTAAAATCGATTTACTTCATGACCAGATGTTTTAATACTATCACAACTATCAAAATAGGAAAATCTGTGTAGCGTTGCAATGGTTTTGTGTGTCGGACGGGAAAGTGTAGAGTACATGAAGCGGCGATGCACTTTCTATGGTAACCACGGAGTACAGCACCAGTACACCAGTACTTAGATCCATTATTGTACTGAGTCTGCTCGCTTTCAACAATTAGCCTCAATTTAGGCCACTGTTAATGTTCTGTGCAAAACGGTTAGGAGATGTGATTGAATTGCGTATACGAATGGGAGAAAGTAGTTGGAACATGTTGCGTTTAGGCTTTATTTAATGTGTACAAAACGTAACAGTTTAAATGCTGCTTAAACTAACTAATTTCTCATGTCAACGTTTTTCTACACAATAATAATTGGAAGTTAGGTCAATTCATTACATAATAATTTTTAAATGTATTGATACCGTTCTTATTTTAATCAACCAATAATAAATTTCGTTATTTCATCGGTATATACATAGGTTAAACGTATATTGCTACACAATTTTTGTACATATAATTACTGTGACTTTTAGTTTAGTTCCTACCATTCTTGGTATATACCAATACTGTACAGCACTTTCAGTTGTATTGATTTTGAAATCCTACTAATATTATAAATGAGAAAGTTTGGATGTATGGATGTATGGATGGATGTATGGATGTATGGATGTATGGATGTATGTTTGTGACAAGTGAACGCGAAAAATACTGGTCGGATTGGGCTGAAATTTGGCATGATGATAGCTCACATTCCCGATTAACATATAGGCATATTCTTATTTCAAAAATCCTTTCGGGCTCCGCCCCAGTGGCTCTGGAGTTTCTTATGTTAACCTTATGAGAAATGGAATTATTGAATCTTAACAGCTGTTTCAATTAAACAAGTTGGTTCTGTTCTATGATGTTCAATAGCATTAAAGTTACAAGGATTACCAACAGGGTGCAACACTATTATTTCTTTTACATTTATGACAACAGCTAATTTGCAACCAAAAGGTGAGTGAGCGTAGCGAACGAACTTCAACCTGGAGGCGAGTTAGCGTAGCGAACGAGCTCCAACCTAAAGGTGAGTGAGCGTAGCGAACAAACTTCAACCAGGACGTGATTGAGCCATGCGAACGAGATAATCTTGAAAATTAAGAAGTTAAACGGGGCAAAGCCCGCGGGTTACAGCTAGTAATCTATAAGTATAAAAGAGGATGTTTGTATATATATATATATATATATATATTTGGCAGTGATAGACACCGCTGAACCGATTGCTACGAATCTTGGTACATACGTGTAGAATTTCATGGAATAGGTTTATACACCATCAATTTCGTGATCCGTCCAATCGGCTCCGCCCCAGTGGCTCTGGAGTTTCCCATGTTAACCTTATGAGAAATGGAATTAATGAATTTTAACAGCTGTTTCAATTAAACAAGTTGGTTCTGTTCTAAGATGTTCAATAGCATTAAAGTTACAAGGATTATCAACAGGGTGCAGCACTATTATCTCTTTTACATTTATGACAACAGCTAATTTGCAACGTAAAGGTGAGTGAGCATAGCGAACGAACTTCAACCTGGAGGCGAGTTAGCGTAGTGAACGAGCTAACCTGAAGGCAAGTAGGTGTAGCGAACGAGCTCCAACCTAAAGGTGAGTGAGCGTAGCGAACGATCTTCAACCAGGACGTGATTGAGCCATGCGAACGAGATCATTTTGAAAATTAAGAAGTTAAACGGGGCAAAGCCTGCGGGTTACAGCTAGTTTCAACTAAAACATGTTATTTGTATAACAAAAATGCATTTTCCTATGTAATATAATTAAATAGTATCAACGGAATTTGTGTTTTCATAGTGTGTACTAAAACATTTTACTGTATAAACCTTTGAAGGAGGAATATTAGTGTTCAAAAATTATAATCAAAGTGTCAGTGCGATTTGTACAAATATTTCCACTTAATGTAGGCCTCCTAAACTCTTGATTAACTGCAACATGTCACTTTATTTGTCTTGGATTTTTTCACTAGGAAAATTCCTGAAAAAACTATTAAAAAATGACACAAAATAAAATATTTCAATCAGAATGCTTTGATGTAGCTCAATAATTAACCAAATGTCTCCAAGGACGTTGCAATGATATAACAATCAATTGATCTATTTGTTTATTTGCATTTTATGACTAAACCACTTAGCGGAACTCTTTGTGAATGAAGACTTGTGAACTGAACTTGCCGCAATTGCGGTTTAAATCGCACTCGTAAACACATCAAACCGCTCTAATTGAGTGTGACGGAATGTCTGATTGTTTCAACAATGGTTTCCCCTTCTTCCCCCTCCTCCGCTCTCTCCCACCCCTCCCCTTGTCTAACCACAGCTGCACTGCAACAATGAAATCTCGTCAGTTGCTCGGTAGACGTGAGCGAGTGCTAGTGGACGACGTCGATTCGTGTTCTAACCTGGTGCTTTGTTTATGTTGTCACGTGCTTCACACAGTTTGTGGTTCTAGTTGTAACTTTGGTGCAACGTTCTGTTCCTGCTTTGGAAATGAAATCTACCTGTTTAGTTGTGATTTGTTAAAACTTTGTGCTTTCGCGTAAATTTTGTGCACTACTGGTCCGTTACTCTTGTGTTAAGGTTGTAGTGGTCAGTAAGTAATTGTATGTAAGTTAGAGAAGATTTCACTTGAAGGATAGAATCTTAATACAAACTTTTTGTGAACTAATAGTTATTTTGACCTAGTTTACTAACCTACCCTAATGGGTTTGAAATGAACCTGTTAGTTTCTCACTCTGTTGTTTTCTCTCCTGTCTTGCTCGAAGTTACGTAGCAGTATGCTGTTGAGATGAAGGTACGTCACTACCCCGGCCACGCCACCGCCATTGGGCCTGCCATGGAGTTCCACTATGAAGCCAACTGGCAGGAGGTGAATCAGAAATGGGGCTTGCAGGAAAATGAGAGGAAAACCGCGACTGTCAAAGATATCTCCAGGATAGGTGTCAAACTACCGGGCTTGACCAGTAGAGTAGACCATGATAAATGGGAGGACCTGGACCAGACCCGGCGGAGTGTGAACGCAGAGTCTCCCAAGAGAACGCCGGGCTCGAAAAATAGTTCGACACATTCCTCTCTAGAAAGACAATTAAAAAATGCCGACAATAAGTTACCAAACGGGTTAGACCTGAGGAAGAACGGGTCGAACTCGAATAGCACTTATAGCGAATTAGAGAAACGTTACCAAATCATCACCCCCAAAGATGTGGCTAGCATTCCGGAAAATCTTGGGAAGATTGTGCTCAAACATTCAGAAAAGTCCGAGTCGAAGGCCGTTAAAGACAGAAGTGAGAGAACGAAGACTGTAACAAACAAAGACAGTGATAGAAGTAGACACCATGACGAAAAGGAATTAGTTCGACCTGAAGTCGCAAACGGAAACAGAAGTGCGTTACGCCAGAACGGGAGAGAGCTTCCGGAGTTTAAACCCCCTAAAGGAACTGACGATGCGATGTCCGAAAACACCGATGTCTCTCGACCTGTACCTCCAGTAAGGACAAAACCTTTACACCAACGCAACCCTAACGATATAATTACACCTCCCCCACCTAAAATCAGATCTGGAACCTCGCCCGGGAAATTTAGGGAACCGCCGCCAGTTCCGAAGCGCATGGACGCTTTCATAGACGATCAAATTCTGCCGAAGATCTCCTACGAGTACATCGGCTACCCGACAGAACAGGAGGAGTTTCCGAAACCGAAGGAGACGTTGGAGTTGCAGCCGATCCCTGCTGAGCTGAAGCCAGTCAGAGTTCAGCCTCGTCAAGATGAGATAGTTTCCTCGTGGGCGGCGAGGAAAAGACGAGAGATGCAACAGGAGAAACTGAGAAGAAAAGCACAAGTGTACAACCACCATCCGTACGAGGATATAGACTCTTGGCAACTAGAGGACGACTTGTACAACGGTGACGTCTCCAAAAGAGGCAAATCCAAATCTCAAAGTGATGGTTCCACCAGCAGCAGACAAAAGTCAAACAGCAGCGATCTTCTCCGCGAAAGCTTCAGGATAGACGCGAAAGAAAGGACTTCCTCGCTGGATTCTGATTTCGACCGCGTACCTTCCAACGTTTCAAACTTCAGTGACTTTAGAAGTGTTTCCATGGAGAGTGTGAAGAAAAGGACTTCACCGGTGGAAAGTGCGATAGAGCCTGATTCTCTGAACCCAGTGGAGAGTCAGGAGTCGGAGTTCATCATTCCTAGGCCCAAGTTGATCGTTCCTGTGCACACGTATGGCATCAGGAAACGACGGACGGGGAACATGTTGCATTCCTCGAGGAGAGGCAGTGAGGTGGACACTGTGGTCAGTGGAAGTGGACATACTACGCTGGACAAGAAACATCACACATCATGTCCAGGTAGTTCATCTAAAGTTTGCACCATAGCCAGGGTAGATTAGGACAACGACAGAATGGGGTTAGAACCAATGATATGTTAGTTTTGTTACTGACCAAGATCAGCTGTTCTTTAGCGTGGACCGTTTCTTAAATTTCAGTGATTATGAACAGCTTAGTCCAGTTTCAAACCACCACAAAGCTTATGACTATTCTAGTACCATGAGTATTATAACAGAAATGGTACGGTATGGAGCATAGAAATAAACAAATGACGTCACTGGCTATCTGTTCTATCTAATCGTGGTTAGTACTGTTCTAGGCAATAACTATACCTCCTCAGGTACCTATACCTAGCTACTTTAACGTTTTTACTACCTACTCTAAGTATGCAACGTTTTATTTTTGTAAAACACCGTTTTATAACTTATTAACCATGTTAATATTGTACAAACAAAGTTCAATGATGCAAATTGATATTCAATCCAAAGCTCTCAATGTAAGTTAACGACCTCATCTATACTATTCTAATAACATTCTTGGGGTGAAATGGATGATAGAAAATAGCAATGCGGCAGTCGCTGTAACCGTTGTTGAGATTTCATACATTTCTTGCTCCGTGTTTTGCTGCTGTTAAAATCGTCAGCAATCTTCTCTTGTCACTTAACGTTCCGACAGCTACGACCCCGCTACTTGCTGTTCGGAACGGTTACTGACACTGTTATTTTATTTAGTTACTGAAGGACTCTATAATCGAACAAATTTATTACATGCCAAAGAGATCAAAATTACAGCATACAAGCATTTTACTAGAAACTCATTAGAGTTTCCACTAACTAACAAGAGATACTATGCTTTGTCAGTAAAGCTTTGTATATTGTTCAAACCGGATATAATCGAAGATTCCAGGTAGAAGACAATAACAAAACACATTTACTTATCGGATGAAAACTAATTGAGATAAACTCTTTTCGTTCCCCATTTAAGCTCATCTAAGCTCATCTTAATCCTGTCGGTTGTTTACAAGTCCGTCATTGTATAAAGTCGATTAATGACGACTTGAGTAACAATTTCAATCCTCAAAATTACTAAATTGAAGGTTAACATCACTGTATCCTATAATTTGGTTCTCACGGAACTGACTTGGTCATTTTAGCTTTTTTATCGAGTCGTGATTTTTTTAGCTTTTCAATCTTGACCAAAGATACTGCCTTCTTGGTAAAATTCTCCCTCTTCAAGTATTGAGCAGGTTGTTCCAACATCCTCGAAACACAAACGATTGTTGCGAAGATCACGCTGCGTCGATCCTTGGCTTGTTATATGCAGGACTGCTAGAAAGGAGGTGTTGCAACTGATCCTTTCATTTGCGGCTTGTTTCGCAACCAGACCTTGAAACTGGTTTATCAATAGAACTCGACCTGGATTTGATTTTGTTGAATTGTTATGACATTGAGTGCTCACGTTAGCCATTACAGTAAGATATCCCCATTCGCTAATTGCATTTTCCAGACCTTTTCGAATCTATAAATATTTCCCATCCGTTTGGTTTCAAATATTTTACCAACGAAATATCTGAAGAGAAAAACTATTTGATTTTTCAGTCAGTCTGAAAGAGTAGGGGGGATGTTTTCTAAAACGACGGTGTTATTTGCGTGCATACCAATGTCTTCCCATCTTATGAGCTTAACATGTAATCAATTTGTACTAAATCTGTTCAAATTGAAAAAAAATACATTGTCAATCAGAATCGCTATTTTATAATGATTTGACGTGAATGTCCTATCCCCCATCGCATTCTTCAGTTCATTGGCTATAACTCGTCCGCTACTCGAGTAAACGAACTCTCACTCTCTATGAATGACAGCCCGCATTGTTAAGGGAACATAAAGTTCTCGTTGTAATAACCGTTGTATAAGACTTCTCCAGCGCTGTACCAGCCGCGCCCTCTCCAGACAGCTGGATATGAGCACAGCTGCGTTATAAAATCAGCTGTTTTCATCGTTGTATTGTTGATATTATATTTCTTTCGATATTCACTTTTATTACTTTTCAATGAAATGGCGACCCAATCAGTTTAAAGATCAGCCTGTAGCTTTTATCATGGATAGAACTATAGTTCGGCCGCGTAGAAAGCGACCTCCTCCAGCATTGGTTTAGCATTAGCACGCAGGTCGTTTTCTAAGCGGCCGAACTATAGAGATGTGATTCCCATGTTCAAGGTGTAACCAGTTATAAAGTAAACCGTAGAAATTGAGCCATGGAAAGATTGCGCTGATGTTAATCGTTTCTGTCGAACATGTTAAATTGATTACCAAGCCAAACTGTGTATTATAGCGAAGTTTATGCCAATTAATAATAAAATAGTACAGATATTTCCCTTCCTGCACACTAATCGCTTCAAACATTACTTCAGGCTTTATTTGCGATCGCACTAAAGTTGAAACTTGAATTGAAACTGTGCACGCAGTGAGCGGCTCATCAAACTATGCTCTATTTCAACAAAATTGTGCTTAGGCTGGACCAAATAGATGGAAGCTCTATGACAGGACCCGAAAGTTAACGATACTACGCTTTTATAACCGTTAATAGTGGCGTTGTGATTAATTTGCATTCATCGGTTTTTAGTTTTCTTTTAAATTTTCGATGCTATAGTTTCGTTGCCACTTTATACCACAGATTTAAGAGGCTATCTTTTATCTGTGTTTATAATTTGTCGCAATTGCTCTGCGCAACTCCCCTTCGTACTGCGCAACTGCCCCTTCGTACTGCGCAACTGCCCTTCGTACTGCGCAACTGCCCCACCTTCTGCGCATGCTCTGTGCCGCGACCGAGCATGTCATAAATGGGACGTGCGATCGATTAATTAGCAGGGCTGCCAAAGCAGTGAAAGTCTGTGATGAAACAGTGTTGCCAACCGACTTATTGTTGCGTTAATCAGCTGATTCGATCCTGATGGTGAGAGTGATAATTTTAGTCGTTCCGGCGTTTTGAAACAGTTCTGATTGTGGGTTGCGCTGAATGCAGTTGCATCTGATCGCCCTTTGAATTGGATGTTATTTTTTACGTAATTTTAAGACTCTGTACATGTTTGTATGCTGTTAGGTTTTCTTACTGTTTTATACCATTTACCACTTATCAGAGACACGATTATTTTACTTCATCTATTTTATTCAGCCTTATAACCCCTAAATGCTAAAATAAAAAATTACAAAACAGTGGACAACAACTTTAGTATATTTTCTGAAAATTGAAAGGAGTATTTGTTCGCCTACAACAAATATTGACGACTACGTTCGTATACTTGACCTAAAACGCACAACGCATCTTAATTCATAGAAATCAATAGATGTGTAAACTTTTCCAGGTAAAAAATAGTTTTGGAAGGTAAACAGTTATTTGTACGATGAATTACGACTTACGCAACCAAAACTAATCATGTCATTAGTCAGGTTATTACTTTTATGATAGACCCTAAAATACTTTTAATGCGAACCCAAACGTTCCCTTATACGTGAATATCTTTCGACCAAATTTCAATAAATACATCATTTTATGAAAAGAAGCATTTTGTGAGAAACATAATCTCCCCGATATAAAACAATGAGCACAACACAATTGCATCCAAAAGTGCATCGACCCTTTAAATGGCTTCGCGCCTCCAACAAGCCGACCTTTGTCCCTTTAACAAGGCTTGGAATTTTAATGAGCTTAATCAATTGAATGCGAACGCTCCTGCTGAGCAATTGAGAGGCGGGATTTAAATCGGACAGATGAGCCAAGATATGCGACGCAGACTGTAGTGCGGGTGGGTATTGTGTTGGAAGTGACGTTAAGAGTGTTTATAGTGAAGAGGATAACACTAACAGCGATCATGTAGGAACCGCTTAAGAGGTCAGTCACTTCCTCTTAGACACATCCTCTTCTGCGATAATTAATGTTTAAATGTCAACTTAGGAATCATGCTAATTTATTTTGTTTTTTTTTCGGGTGTGGTTCTTTCATGTTAAATGTAGTCTATACCTTTTTAAGTGCTAAAGGGGGTTTAAATATTGTTTGAAACATTTAACATGGATTTGTTATACAGTTGAACCTCGATTACAAGTCCAATTTCTAATTCCTTGAATTAATTTGATCTCTAAACACATATCATTGTAAATCTCGTTTAGAAGTCAAGTTAACAAGTCTTATTTAAAATCACAATAAGATTCTTTTGAATTTATGCCGTATTTAGAGTTTTTATATTTTTTCTTGGGGTTTTAGGTATTTATATTGTTAGGTTTTATAGTTAATAATGCAAAATGATTTTTTGAAAAGTGGTCAATATCTGTTGGATTTTGGGTTGCCATTTGGCCAGTATGAATTGCACAATTCTAGTAAAAAAGTATTACATTAAGGCTATGAAGAAAATCACTAAATATTCCGAATTTTTCTGTTTGTTCCGTTCACAAGGGGGTTGCCAAATAAATAGGTAGGGTAAATGCTCGTAGTATTTTGAACGAAACTGCATCAAAATTGGCATGGATATTTCTTGGTATTTACTCAGGGGAGGTATAGAAGAGGCTACGATGACAGCTGAGGGCTTCTTATTAGCTGAGGGAACGCCATTACCGTAACAAAACGTTCAACAGCCATCGGCCTCGGTGGTCCATAGTTAACGTGCTGGGCTGATATACTATACTATAGGTCCCGGGTTCGAATCCCGCTGGTAGCAATGACTTTTGTCCAAGATTTTTTATTATCATCAGCAAGTTTGGTTGGTTTGGTTTGGTTATTACTGTTTAATTTTATTATTAAGTCATTATAAAATTTTAATTGAGCAATTTCTAGTTTTATTAATTTAATAAACAGAATTATTTTTCCGATTACTAAACTTTTGTTATATTACTGTATTTCTTTATCAGCAAGTTTGGTTAGTTCGGTTAGGTTATGATAGTTTAATTTTATAATTTAAAAATAGTAAAATTGAATTGGAGGCATTTATAATTTTATTTTATGAACAGAACTATTTTTGGGATTAGTAAACC